CCTCCGTTGCTTCTGTTTGATTGATGACTGATTCCACAGCTGCAATCATGTTGGCAGGTTAAACATCAGCCATTTTGAATGAGGTTTCATGCTGTAAGACCTGTATTTTGTCCTTCGTCAGTTCTTTCGATGAGAGTTTGTGCACCAGTATGTCGTTTGTAGATGGCGTTGAATTCTGCAGTTTGCGGAATTTGTTTTGTAGGACTGCTTCATCAATTACTTGTTTGTCGCGGGCGTGTGCAAGCAATCTCTGTTGAAGCAGTTTTGTGCTATCTTCGCCCATGAGCTCGCATCATTTGGTCTTCTACTGTTCAATTATTTGGCGGTATTTGCGTAGCCTCACGTGTCAATGCTGAATGAACATACGGACCGTTATCTTGCCAGTTTGAAACATTGCGAGTCTCGCCGCCCGCGTATTCAGCTGGGATTTGGAACAAATACTCTTCGGCAATACGTTATTGTCCAGACACCTGTGCAGAAAACGGATCTGCATGCATGCGCCCACATGCCGTTCAACATGCCACCAACACTCATAAAGGTCATTACGGTTAACTGTCGTCGTATGTTTGCAGCAATTACTCTATCCTAAAAATACTGAAAACTCCTGTGCATGTGCTACCCTATCTGCTATTGCGCTCTGATTATGTTCTGCTGACGAATCCGCGACGGATATCGAAACATCATGCGAATAAAAGTATTGTCCCAGCGATCGAGTCGTCTTTTTCTCAACGGAGGTGGTGGTCAGAAACCAGCCACGATAGCTGCCTATTGAAGAAGGCGTCTGTGCATAGTCTGGCCAAAAATGGGCTCCATACATTCTTACTGTGACATTTTGCAGTAGGTAGGCTATCTCATGAGGTTCAAATATTTTTACAAGGAACTCCCTGTTACGCAAAAACAGCCCAAGCTGTGCCCTACAGTCTTACAACAAGAAGGTAATTGTCTTTCATCAAAATATCCCGTATTGCGATTTATCAAGTAATATTGCGTTGCTTAGATATAACAGCTTTTTTCGCAAAATGGAAAATTCCAGAAAAGGGGAAATCGGGCGTTACTAGGAAAATTTAACGTCTAAATTTGTAGAAAGCTTGCTCAAGCATAAAACACCGAGTTATTAAAGCAGCACGAGTAGCATAACGTTGAAAACTAATCCCTTTGTAATATTTCCGGATACATATGGCTCCATATTATGTGCAGTTAAATGTATAGCTCTTACTTTAAAGCTTAAAATTCGAGTATGTATTCCAACACTGTTTCACGATAATTGCTAGTTGCTTCTTCCGTTTATATATTGCTTGAGTTAAGTTGGACTAATGAAAGCAAATTTTCTTTTGGTTTTGCCGATTGGAAGTTCACAGGATTAAGGTTTTTCGTAAGCTCTCATGCGGACGCGCCAGTGAGTGACTTATACTTTTAAATGGAATTATCAGATGCTATCTCAAGCATAACATGCTTCTTACACTTTTAGAAATTTTCTCCCGCCACATTTTTCCTCATAAATATTTTGGGACGTCGACACTGACTAGGTTCAGATCGTTGTTGAAATTGTGATAAACACTGAAGTATTTTCACTACCGTCAGTCGATTGACCATAAATAAGGATTATATTCTAAGTGCTTAACAAGACCTTCAAAATAAGATATATCTTAAAAACATTTACTGCTCTTATGCAGTTGTCTGCTGGGATCATGGTATTAGAATGATCCAAGCATGTGAACGGATTTCCGAGAACCATGAACGTCCACAAAAAAGGTTGCAAATAAATGCGCCTGAGATTAGTTAAAAAGCATTCTACATAAAGTTAGATATTTCGGCGTCGAATATCTGTGGGTTTTACCTTTTTGGGCCAGTATTTTACTACTCTAAAAATTAGAGACTAACCTTCTGTTTAAAATGATAGAACTCACGTCGCTATGTTTAACGGAGCAGTTTTCAGTATATTTATTTACTTTTAGGCTCAGGTCTAAGATAATAAATG